ACATGCATGGAGTGGCACAGGAAGACAGAGTAGATCCAGCTGGGGACAAAAGGCAGTGAAGACCCTTGGCCTTGGAGTGTGGCTCCCCTCACATGCACATGAGCAGCTTGGACCTGCTCCAAGACAAGGCCATGATAGCCAAGCCCCTCTCAGCACCCTCCTGCCCTCAGCCCTGGGTACCTGTGTAGGACTGACTGCTCTCTGCCACCTGCTTGCCCATCTCCGTGGTGCCGGCGCTGCTGGTGATGAGGCTGAGCGAGGGCAGAGCAAAGTCATCCTTTTTGGGTGTGGGGAAGGGCTCAGCTTTCCCAGGGCTGGCGGTCTTGGCCTCATCATCGCTGGCCTGGGAGCAGGGGGAGGTGCTGCTGCCCAGGTCATCCCACTGCTCCTTGCCCTGCGGGCCCTGCGGGTTGGTGAGCTCGGAGTAGGTGTGGTACTGCTCTGCATCAGAGATGCCCGTGTCTGTGGGACAGCACAACAGGTCAGTTTGGGGAGTACCACACACGGAAAGAACAGCCCCCATTCCCTCGGGATGCCCGTGGGGCTGGGGCACCCCAAGGGGAGGGGAGGAAGGCAGTTTGGGTGCCTGCAGAACGGGTGGCAGGGACAGAGGCACCAGCTGCCTCCGCTTTGGGGCACCTGCCAGGGCAGTAATTGGTGACGATGGCACCGTCCTGCCCTGCAGGCCGGGCTCTGGCGGGCAGGGCACTCACCAGGCTTGCTGGGCTGGCCCAGGGAGCGCTTGCGGCGGCGAGCCCGGCGGTAGGTGCAGTCGTACTCCTCGCTGAGGGGGGAGCGGGGAACGCTGTCTGCCTGAGGAGGGACAGGGGCTGGTCACCAGGGGAACCCTGCCACGTCCCACCCATGGCGCCTACAGCCCTTCCCATGTCCTCTGAAGGTGAAGCTCCCTCTCTCTTCACCACTGCCCTGTCCCACCAGTGCCTCCTGGACTGGTTTCAGATTCCTGAGGCTGTCCTTGCTGCTCTGAGACTGAGGTAAGGGTGTCAGGGCCATGGGGGAGGGAAGGAGCACCCTGAGAAGTGGCAGGATATCCCAGAATGGGACAGGACATGGAGGGAATTTGACTTTCTTTTCTATATTTCAGGTCTCTGAAAAGAAAGGTCAGGAAAGGACAAAGTTCAGTCACACGCTATGAAAGAGTCTAACAGCACTGGCAAAAATGCTTCAAGCCTTTCAGGGATTGCAAACCTGATCATTTAAAAAGGAATTTTCAGAGGAAGCTCGTACCCAATTCAATGAAGCATGAGAATATTTCTGCTCATTTCTTTGAGCAGCCTCAAAACTTGTGCAACCCATTTGCCCAGGCTTGAGCAGAGTACCACTGGCACGGCTTGTTGTGCCAGCTTTTCCAAAGAGCTCAGAAACATACAGTAGAAGTGTCCTGCTGTGGGGGAATCAGAACTCCCTGGAGAATGCCCTGGGAAATGTGGCTGTGGCACTTGCTGACATCCTTGCTTCAGCCCTCCCACTTGCTCAAATTTAAGCATTGACCACATTGCTCCCTGGGGCAGCCCTGGCACTCACATCTCGTAGGTTGAAGGTGATCTCCAAGTTGCTCCAGAAGTTGTCAGAGAAGGCTGGGTACATGTCCAAGACCTCCAGCAGGTCCTCACGCTGGATCTTGTGCAAGTCACAGTAGGTGAGGGCCCTCACGTCTGCGTTGGATTTCCCTGGGCGGGCGTAGAGGCTGATGGGCTCCCCAAAGATGTCGTTCTTCCCTGTGTCAAGGGACAGCTCATAATGGAGAGCTGGGCACCCACTGCTGCTCCAGCTACTCTGGTCCAGCACCCCTTGCTTTGGGCTCATGAGCAAGGGGCTGCCCAGCAGCCCCAACCCCGATGGTGTGTGCTGGAGGACACTGTGAAAGCCATCACTGATGGTGACACCAGGCCAGGGCACTGGGTCATCAGTGATGGCTGAGCCATGCTCTGCTCTCCTCACTCCCTTGTGGTTTCTCCCTGGCGTCTCCCAGGGATCTCCCTTTCCCTGTCCACTGGCACAGGGACCCATCAGATGCTGAAGAACAATCTTCCCTTCCCCAATATGCGGGGAAGGTCTTTACCCTCCCCAGCCACCCTTTGTCCACTGCTCACTGCCCATCACCCCTCGCAAAAGGAAGGACTTTTTCACCTAAGATGGCCACCACAATGTCTTCCCGTAGGATCTCGATGGAGCCCCGGGAGATGAAGTAGAGGGTGGTGAGGACATCTCCGTAGTGCACCAGGGTGTCCCCGGGCGGGGCGTGAGTTGTCTTGAACTTCATGGCCAGGGCGCGCAGGCAGCCCTTGCTGGCTCCCCGGAACGCCTTGCAGTTCTGCAGCAGCGTGCGGTTCAGGTGCAGGCAGATGTCGGCCTGCAGGCAGTCAGGGAAGCCCTTCAGCACCTGTGGAGAGCCAGGCAGAGGTGGATCACAGCCCTGTCCCTGGGAGGGAACGCTGGGGCAGAACAGAGAGGTTGTATGACAGCATGAAACAAGGGGGCCCGACAGGGAGACCGTGTGCCCAGAAAGCCAAAGGTGGGAACATTTTCCCATCCCTGGAAATGTTCAAGGCCAGACTGGATGGGGCTTGGAGCAACCTGGTCTAGTGGAAGATGTTCTTGCCCACAGCAGGGAACAGTTTGAGCTTTGAGGACCCTTCCAACCACGAACCATTCAGTGATTCCATGATTTTGATGATCTTTTGATCTTCCCTTGGTGGATCCCTGCCTGCCTGCATGTCGCTGGCTTTTACTGCTTGTGGCTGGGGACAACAGCATTCCCAAACAATAAATAAAAGTAATCAGTTCAATCTATTTATATCCACTGGTGGCATATCCCCTTTTTCATCTTTACACCCACTAATCTTGGATGAATGAGAGCAGAAACTGGCACAAAGAGCATAAAAACCTTAATTAAACAGCACCTGCCTGAATGCCAAGAAGCAGCAGCACGGGACAGTTGTGTGCACTGACAGCTAAATATACCTGTGCAAATACCTCATGTTGAACAAAAGCTGAATCGGAAGGTGACATCAAGGTAAAACTCACAATATGGGGAAAGCTGCTGCCACCAATGACTCACAGTACCAAGGTGAAAACCACCTGGGTTTGGGTTTTTTTTGGAGAGCAGCATATGGCCCTGGGGTCCTCCTTGCTGTCCTCTTTGCTCACATCCCGCTGGTGGCCAAATCTGGAATAGCCATGCTGGGGCTGGTGAGCACGACTTGTTCCTGGCTTCATCATGATCTCCCATGCTAGCAGGAGTGTTTCCCTCCTGGGAAATTAGGGGCGGACGAATTGATCAGGCTGTGGGGTGATTGATGAGATCACACTGTGTCTCTGCAGCACCCAGCAGGAATTGGTGTGAGCTGCAAGCTCAGCTCTCACAGGGGATTTGTGACCTGGGTTTGCACTAAGCCAAGAGCACCTGTGCTTGGGAGGGTGCCATGGCACTGCTTCTGCTTAGTGCCACTGATGTCCAGCCCAGGGTGTCTCCTCCACAGGACAGGTTTAACTCAAAGCTCTCCCAGCAGCAAACCCCCAAATGCTGCCCAGTTGTTTCATGTGGCAGCAGCAACTTTAGAGGGAGATGCTGAATTCATACAAATCTGTGTCCTGATGCTGCTCAGGATTAAATCTTAAGGAAAAAAAAGGAACATCATCTGGCGATGAGTGGGCTGATAACCTGCCCAGGGCCAAGAGACCAGGAATACGAGGTCTCATGTCTCTCCTTGCCTTATCCTTTCTCATTCCTCTGCCTTGCTGCTGGCTGAGCCACCACGTCTGTGCACTGAACCCCAGGGCCGTGAGTCCCGTCCCCAGCCCAGGATACCTCGGCCGAGCCACAGGCCCATCCCCACGGAGCCCTCCTGCCAGGCTCGGAGACACGGCGCCTCTGCAGCACAGCTCTGCCATTGATCCCCCCTTTGCTAACAAACAGCTGCCTCTCTGGGCTCTAATTAAAATGGATCGAGGTTTATTTAAATGCCCTCCTTTCCCTGCTGCGAGAGCAGGATGCACTTTGCTTAGCAACCAGTGGTGTGGAGAGGAGCTGGATCAATACCTGCTCCACTCCTGTGACACCAACAGACACCAGCCTGAAAGTGCTCAGTGGCAACAGGGACTCTGAGCTCCCCACCAAACCTGCTCTCTGGCCAAGAAATGTGCTCATGACCCTGGAAAACCTCTGGGTAGATGTAAAGCAATGGGCAGAAAAGGGAGAGAAGAAGAAAGGGGGATGCAGGAGGTGGGAATGCAGGAGGTGTATGGATAGAGTCTGTCTCCAGCCTCTATCCTGATCAAAGGATGGAGGTGTTTGGGTGGACCCAGGTCTGGAGGCCGTGTTGTTCAGGACACAGTGCAGCGAGGACACAGGGCGTGCCTGCCCAGACTCACCGCGTTCATGTCGATGCCGTTGGTGTAGGACCAGGCGTGCTGGAAATACTCCTCCAGGCGCTGGCGCAGCGGGTTGGGGATCTGGTGGAAGCGGATGAACTCCTTGACCCGCAGCATCTGCGTGTGGTAGCGCGCCGTGCCTGAGTAGAGGCGCTGGATGATGGCCGAGACGTTGCCGAAGATGCTGGCATACATCAGAGCTGAAAGGAGAGGGCAGGACTCAGAGGGACATGGGGACATGCATGTCCAGCTACATCGGACCTGGAACCAGCAGATTCCCAAAACCCTTATCTACCAAGACCTGAAAACATCTATTTTTATTTGTCTGTGTGGAAGAGGCACAGGCAGAGGGAGATGCTCCAACCTCCAAAGCAGGGTTTAGGGACAACGGGACATGCGCAGGCACTCACAGCCAATGAGCATGACACAGATGGAGAAAATCTTCTCAGAGTTGGTGTTGGGCGAGACATTGCCAAAGCCCACGCTGGTGAGGCTGCTGAAGGTGAAGTACAGGGCGGTGACGTATTTGTCCTTGATGGAGGGGCCGGAGGACAGGTCGCTGTCGTTGTAGCGCTTGCCGATCTGGTCACCCAGGTTGTCCAGCCAGCCGATCTTGTGCTCCATGTAGGGCCGCTCCACGTTGCCGATGGCGTACCAGATGCAGGCCAGCCAGTGGGCGATGAGGGCGAAGGTGCACATGAGCAGGAAGAGCACGGCAGCCCCGTACTCCGAGTACCGGTCCAGCTTCCGCGCCACCCGCACCAGGCGCAGCAGCCGCGCCGTCTTCAGGAGGCCAATGAGGGTGGTGGTCTGCAGGGGAGAGGTGAGAGACCTCAGGGACATGCAAAGGATAAATATGGCATGTTCCAAAGGCATGTTCCCAGCTGAGCTGTGCTTCCTTTGAAGATAAAAATGCATTTCTAAAGTGTGAATCACCTCGTCCTGGAGGTGACCTCTGAACTAGGTCAGGTGAGTCACAGCACAGGAAAGGCAATTTCCCTCTGCTGACCATAAAGGCAACAAGCTCTGGGATTAGAGCTGAGCAAGTGAGAAGAGCCAAGGCCAAGCCCATGCCCATATGTCCTCACCTTGCCAGCCATTGCTCCCAAAAGAGCTACGTTCAGTCCCAGATGTGGAGCCTCCAGGCAGTAACTATAGGGCTATCCCACGGCCAACATTTTAATTCTGGCTGGCAGTGCACCCCCAAATCCACCTACACTGGAGTGGGTCCCTTAAACTGATCCCCCAGCGTGCTCTGTTGGGTCAGCCTCAGCAAAGGGAGTGAATCCACTCTTAACACTTAAGAGTTCAGACTGCCTGACCCTAAAAAATTAAACTCCAGGTCCCAGCTGCTTAAAAATCTGTAAAGACACCCTTCTCCACCCGGTGACCAACTGCCCCTCTCACCATGGATTTAGCCATCCACCACTTATATCAAACCATCCACATCTCTTTCTTTCTTTCTCACACATCTCTCCCTACCCATGCAGGAGTCCCCTCCTGTCCTGACAGACCCTGCTCTTACCTCATCAGAGCCAGAGCGGAAGATGAGCAGGTCGAAGGGGATGGCGGCCACCATGTCGATGAGGAACCAGCCCTTGAAGTAGTGGATGGCGATCTTGCCGGGGTGGCTCACCACCTCGTCGTTGATGTTGACGTAGGTGGTGCGGAAGTTGATGACGATGTCCACGATGAACATGATGTCCACGATGAGGTCGATGATGTTGAGTGGGTCACAGGTGTAGCTGCAGTCCCAGCGCTTCTCCTCCACCTGCTCCTCGTTGAGCAGGAAGGCGGCCGAGTAGGGGGTGAAGACGGCCGTGTAGATGACCAGCAGCAGGATGAGCCAGTCCCACACGGCCTTGAAGGGGCTGTAGTGCAGGATGGTCCAGCGGTGGATGCGCGGCGCCTGCAGCTTGTACTCGGGGAGCACATCGGCACCCAGGGACAGCACCTGCCAGGAGAGGGCGGTGAGAAGGGTGGATGGGAGACCAGGAGAGAGGCTGGACAATGCCAGGGACCAGGCAAGGGACTTCCATGTGCTAGTGGAGCATCGAGGAGCACACAATGGTTTCCTGCAGCTTTTTCACTTTGCTGGCTGCCCAGTTGCCCACTGTGGCTGACACCAAGGTCCTTGTCTGTCTCTGATGGTCACAGCACCCTTGGGGCAGCTTCTTACCTGCTTTATGTCATTCTGACCCAGCAGAGAGGAAAGTGCCTGCTGCTGTGCCTCCTTCTGCCCTCTGCTCTGTGCCACCTGCTCGGGAGCTGCTGGGTGTCCCTGGCACAGGGCTATGGGATGGGCAGCCTGGAGATGGGTACAGGAGGGGTGGGGCTGCCCTGCTTTGGGTGCTGAGGGGTGGCAGCATGAAGGGGCTTATTTGGAGCTGGGGGCAGTTGGATCCCCTTCCTGCCTGTGCTGCTCAGTGTCCCTGTGGTGCTGGGACCAGTGCCAGTTGCACAGGAGGGAGAGGGGCACCTCAATTCTCTCTCCTGGCACTGAGCCCCCAGCTAAAAGGGAGCTTTTTGCTGGGGTGCAAAGGAGAGGAGAGAGGAAAGAAGAGAGAGGAGAAAGGAGGATCCACAAATCCCAAGGCAACAGTGATGAGCATCACGGCGGCTCTGGCAGCAGATCTGGAAGAAGGGTCTGATCCCTCCTGCCCTGAGAGCCGTCTCGTTCAAGGGTTTCCCAAGGGCTCCTGATGCTGCCACCCAAAGTGGATCCATCCCTGCAGCCCCATCCCACAAGAAGCAGCTGCTCCCACACCCCAGAGCCCCGGGGCACTGCAGGGTGCCCCAGATGTTCCCCTGCTCCTACCTGCCTGCAGCTGGCCCGGCGCCCCAGGCGGCAGCTGAGCCTCGAGGTGCGGGTGTCCACCATGGGGGCCCCCAGCCCGGGCAGCGTCCGGCACGGCGGGCACAGCGCTCGGGCCCTGGCATCGCCCAGGCGGGCACGCAGGCACTCGGCCAGCCGGGTGGGAGCCATGGGGCTGCCAAGGGCACGGGGGCCCAGCGCGGGTTAATCAAAGCCGCTCGATGCCGGGGCCCCGTGGGGACACGAGCGCCAATGGAGCAACGGGAGAGGGGAGGGATTGGAAAAAGTGACCCAAAGCAATCGTTGTGCAGGGAATGAGGCACCAGCCGGGCTTGGGGACCGGCTCCTGTGGGGATGGTGGGGAAGGGGGCACGGCAACACTGATCAAGCGCTTGATCCCAAGACTGAGGCGCACCCAGAAGAGCTGAGGTGGGCTCCTTCACCTTCAGCAGCTGGATGCTTGTTCTGCCTGGCTGGAGGCAGCTCTGCGGGGCTGGTCCTGAGTTCGGGCCACCAAATACTGTTCCCTTTGCTGGGGCACCTGCGCTGCCCCTTGTCTCTGTTCCTGGCACCTAGCTCTTGTGGCAGAAGCAAGAACAGGTTAAGCTCTGTTGCTTTCCAGGTAGGAATGCATAAAAAACCACAGCCCAAAAGATCTGAGGCCAAAAAGGGTAAAGAAACAACGTCCAGAAGAGCCTCTAAACCAACACAGAGCTAGGGAGCAGCTGCAGCCTTGTTCCTCCTGCCCAGTGGGGCGGATGGGGGGACTGGGACACATGCCACCTGCAGGCAGGACCCCAGCCTGGTGACACCGACCCCACAGCGTCCCCACAGCCTCCAGCTGTGCTCCAGAGCCACAGCCCTGTAAGGCTGAGCCTGGGACATTCACTGCACTCGTGGCCTGCCCTCCCTGGCAGCTCCCTGCAAGGCCAGACCATCCCAACAGCCCCTGTCTCCACTCCCTGCCCACCCGCTGGTATTTTTAGACAGTGTCTCGCCACTGTCTCTGCCTCACCATGAATTATTTAACAGCCAGGAGCAGGGAGCTGTGGCTTGGCCAGGAGGTGTGGGGGACCTCGGGGTGAGGACAGGCAGGTCCTCCCTGGGAGGGGGAGAGGTCCATCCTGTCCTGCCCACCCATCCCGTCTGGAGATTGAAGGTGAAGGCAAGATTGACCTCTGTGGGTGCTGCACTGCAGGGCCCTGCAGCCACCACCCACCAGCTCTGATCCCATCACCCCACACGGAGTGGCCAACACCATTGTGACAGTCGCCCCTTGTGACCACTGATCCCTTGTGTGCTCCTTGTGCTGGGGCCGGGCCATGGAGGCTGCTCACCGACCCACTGGGGAGTTCAGGGGCTAATCCCAGGTCACTGCAGTCGCCCCCAGATTAGAGGGACTAATGAAGGGGCCAAGCCAGGGGGAAAACAAGCCTAAGAACTGTTCCATGATGTGTGAAGTGGGGAGCCCATCCCCTGTACATGGAGGCTATGAAGTTAAAGGTTTGCTGGCACTGAGACAGAAGGAGAATCCTGCATAACACCTCACTCTGATGGAGCAAACTCAAGCCTGGAGGTTTTTCTGGGGTCAGATCGCTGCATTTTCATTAGATTTGCCCTGAGCTGCTGCTGGCAACAATGGGAGGTGCCCTTAGATGTATTTTGTACATTGAGGCTCTCCTGTGCCTCAGTTTCCCCACAGCTAGAAGAGCTCCTTACTCGGGGTTGTGGGATACATCAGCGTCTTTCAGGCACTCTGATATCCCCATGGGATGTGCTATTCCGTGCATTCCATGCTATTCCCTTTGGTGACAGTGCCTGTGTCCCCTGCAGTGACAGGCAGTGCCACACGTGTTGGTGACAGTGCAGTGCCATCTGCTGTCTCCCAGGGGATCCTGTGGCCCTCGGCGTGCTGACACCGGGCCGGGTCCTTGGCTGGGCTCCATTCCCAGCGCTGGGGGCAGGAACAGTGGCCACAGCTCCCCCCAAAAGAAGCCACGTGCACACACAGACGTGCAAACGCGTGTCCCCTTCAGGGCTGCCATCACGAGCAGCTCATGCTGATGTTTCCCCAGCCACAGATTACCAGAAATACTCATTTAGGAGACTAAAACAAGAATTTCAGCCATTCAGAGGAAGGCATAACCAAACACAGGGATACTGGAATTTCCTGGGATGCAATCTCCAGGTGTCACTGCCCTCTCTGCTTCTCCCCTCCCAAAGCCACTGCAGTGCTTGTGACTGTCCCCCAGCAGCAACACCAGCACCCCATCCCTGCCTTGGTGGCATCTCACTGCCCCATACCTGTGTGACCTTCTCGGTGACGTTCTGGGTGCGCTCCATCACCTTGTGGGGAGCAATTATCTCGATCTCCGTGGTGGAGCCTGAGCGGTGCTTCTCCAGGTTGAACTCCACGAAGTTGAGTGTGAACTGGGGGATCTGGCTGATGGTCCGGTACTTCATGAGGTCCGAGTCCGAGGTGGAGTTTGGGGGGTTGGGTTTGACATGGGAAGCTTCTGAAAGAGGATGGAGAGGAGCACTGAGAAGGACAGCGTGAGCAGGAGCAGATCCCCAGAGCCCTGACCTTGTGTAGGACCTCCAGGAGCTGGGGACCACCACAACGTGCCACCAAAAGGTGCCAAAGTCTGCCTGGCCATAAAGGCTTGACTTCTTCAGGCTGGCTCAGATGTGGGATGCCCAACCTGGGATGCCTGAGAGAGGGCTGTTTTTCCCACACATCACCCATCTCTTCACCATTAAACCTCCTTCAGGGGGCTCAGACCTGCTGCTACAACACAGAGACGCTCAGTGTCCTTTGCTGCCCCTTGCGCCTGTAGTAGGTTGGGGACCAACCCACTGAGATTCACCAGGGAGAGATGCCAGAATTAGCATGGAAACAGACGAAGGAGGAGGTCACTCTCCTCCACCCTTGCATGCTTTAGCCTGACAAACATAGCTCCTGAGCTGCTGGGTCACCCCAGGGCAGGACCAGAGAGGAAGCTGTGTAGGTGGTCATTTCATGGTCAGACTAGTGGCAATGTGTTGTCATGAGTGGGAGCCCGTACCCAGACTCCAGGAAGATCCCCAGGCACTGTACTCAGTGTGTACCAACCTTTCCATCTCCTACACGCAGTGCAGGGTTGTATTTTCAATTTTTTACCCCCTGTAACCCTTGCACTGTGACATTGACCCAAGTGGTGGTGTGGGCAGGAGGTGTCTGAAGACACTGTGAAGGTGCCCATTTAGCACCAGCCATCCTGCTGCCACCCTTCTCCCTGCTCACTCCCTCTCCCTCCCTCTGCGTTGTGTCTCCTCCTGAGGGTCCATAACCTGTGACTATTGGGGGATCATGAACCCCCAGTCCATTTTTTACAGACCAATCTCTCTCAATCCCAGCTGAGAGGCTTCTCTTTCCTGGCCTCTATCTAATTTGTCATAATCACTCTCAGGAGAACCAGAGGTGTGGATAGCAAGGATAGCCCTTGAGCTGGCCTGGCCAGTGTCTCACCCACCTCCCACACACGGACACAGCTCACACTGCACATGGCTGCAAGCCCCTGCCCTCCCTCCAGGGAAGCTGGGATGCCGTGGGGATGCCCCTCGTGTGGGGCAGCGAATGCAACCTCACACGCTCTCACATCTCACACACAAACCATGGATGGCTCTACCTACAGAGCAGGACCTGCCTGTGCAGGGAATCACATGGACACCAGCAGGTTTTGGGGAGAAGACCCAGTGACCTCCACTTTGCAGAGGGAACAGAGACCGAGACCTCCCCCCCGAGATGTGCTGAGGCCGTGGCCAGAGCCCTGACTCCCGCAGTAGAACCGACAGCTCCGGGGTTTTCCCTACCTGAGTTTGCCCTCCTTTCCCTGAATTTTCTCTGGAACTCAGACCTCGCAGCCTCAAAGTTGTCCAAGGAGGAGACCCTGCGGAGGCTGTGGAAGCTGCCCCCAGGGCGAGACCGAAAGAAACCCCAGGCAGGGTACGGCCCTGGTGGGCCCAGCACGGGAGGCTCTCGTTTCGGGGACGAGTGTTGTAGGGTGGGGTCGGCCTCCAGGCTTGGCCTCCGCTCCTTTTCCAGGAGGGATTCGGTCTCTGACTGCATACAATTTTCCTTGGGCGATGTCTTCAAGTCCCTCAAAATCAGGGAGTCACCACCAGGCTTTAAGACAGCCAGGAGAAAGCGTTGTATTAGAAGGAGTCCCCGCGTGCTGGGGGAAGGTGAGGGAGCCGGGGTGGGTCAGAGGAAAGGCAGAGGGCTGGGAAGCACTGCAGCTCCTGAGGGCATCTCCAGCCTGGACCAGGACCTGCTTTGGAGCGGGGCGACCGAGTCCCTGGGGACTTGGCAGCTCCTTCCAGCCCCCGCCGAGGCTGGGCGGCCACGGGGGGGTTTGCAAGGCGATGCTGCACAGCTGAGAAGCAGTGAGAGCAAGAGAAGAGGAGACCTGGGGACAGGCTTGCCTGGAGTACCTGCTGTGCCATTAGCATTTCTGACATGTCCCTCTGTCCCACCACTGGGGCTGCCCTTCCCTCACCTGCTGCAAGAGCTCAGCCAGCACCGAGGTCAGTGCCCAGCCCTGTGCTGGTGTTTATGGGAGACGATGTGCTCTGCACCAGGAAGCACTGGAGGAGCTGCCGGGTTTGCAAATTTGGCCATATTGGTCCTCCTTCTCCTACAGCCACCGTTAACCACGGCTAAACCTTTTTCCCTGGAGACCTGAAGAGTTTCCAGACTTCAATTTCTGCAATGTGATGTGCAAAGCAACCACCTTCTCGAGCAGAAACATATGAGGCTGTGCCCCTCCAGTAATACCCACAGGAGGGACTGTGGCACTTCTCACCATCCCTAAGGCCCTTTAGGGCAGGTTTTAGGATGGGGTGCCTGGAGAGGCTGAATGCTGGCTGGCCCTGTACCTGCAGGGCTGTGCCCACTTGGCCAAGTCCAGCAGAATGGTCGATCATCAGGTTGTCCTCAATGCACATTTTCCACGTGTGTGCCCTGAAACACTGCAGTGCCCCGTGCAGCTCCAGCCTGGGGGTACCCAGAGCTTTTAGCAGTGCTGGTGCCTATAGGAATGATGTACCCAAAGAATCTGATAACCCTACACACATCTTCAACCTACCATAAGCACAACCTCTGAGAAGACAGGCACCTTCCATCTCATTATGTCTATGATTTGGGGAAGCAGATTTGTCCAAGCTACCTGGATACACCCAGCACAGCAAGACCCTGGCACCTGGGGACACCTTAGCAGAGCAGAAGCCTCCTGCTCACAGCCTTGAGCTGCAGCATTCCAGAAAACAACAGGTCTTTGACTGGAGGTGCCCTGAGCACTACTGACAGTCAGGAAGCCACCAAGAACAGCAATCTCTAAACAGGCCCCACCAACAGTTTTTCAAGGTTGGTGGCAGCATCACCCACCATCATGGGAAGTACAATCTTTGCTGGAGGGCTGAGAAGCTGGACCTGCCTGTGCTGCCTGGTCCCTGCCAGGAAAACAAGGGGAAAGGAGCCTGCCAGTCCCTGCTCAGAGCACACCTGCTCCACGCTCCTACAGCCACCAGCACGTCCCCTCCTCGGCGTGGGGACAGCTCCCTGGAGCTCCGCCATCCGGGACGATCTGCAGCATGGAGCCAGACCTTCCTCCCCGCTTTGGCACATCTCCCGCTCCCCCCACGAGGCACGGAGTGCAGAGCAGCAGGGCGGAGCTGCAGCCCACACCAAAGCACCAGCCCCAGCAGGGCTCAGCACCGAGCCCGTGCCGGGGCCGCTGGAGATGGCCCGAGCCACAGCAGCCAGGGGCAGTGGGATGGGGACAGCGAGGAGCAGCGCTGGGACCTGGCCTGAGGCGTGGGCTTAGATCAGACAAAGGCTACGGTTACCTTTCCATAGTCAATGGCTACTCCATCAAACTCACTGGTGGGCAGAGATTTCCGCTGGATTTTGAGTCGCCGCAGGGACGGGAGACTAAACTTCAAAGTCCTACCTTCACCTTGTTAAAAAGAAAAACAAAACACAAGAGAGAAAGATGTGACCTAGCTGCATGGGATGGCTGGAGTGAGGCGGGACAGGGGAGAGGCTAAGGAGAATTTTGGGTGGCTTTGGGGGACGCACATGCTGTGTGGCCCTTCCTCCTCCAAAGCACTTGCTGTTCCCATGCCATCATGTCGCTGTGTGCTCAAGGCAGGCCCTGACCTGGCAGCAAGCTCCTCTGAGCTGAGAAGAGTTCCCTACAACTGCAGATGTGAGACAGGAAAGGTGCAGAGCATCCCTAAGCCAATTAAAGAGGTTAAAGCCACTTAAGGGATTTGGACCCGGAGGAAATTGAGCCTCTAAATCTCCTTGGTGAAACTTTAGGGGGAAAAAACCCCCACACAATAGAGATGGTAATTTAGAAAGGCATTGAAAGAAAAGTAGTTCCAGCAATTTAGTTTCTGGATTTGTTTTGGATTTTCAGTGAGGGAATTGGGACCACACAGGTCCCTTCCTGCCATCATAGGGGACCAGGAGACCACCTCAGTGGGGACTGGGGCTGGGACAAGGGCAGCCAGGGCTGCTAGGAGCTGTGAGAGAGGTGCAGGAGAGGAAGAGCCCAGATGTGGAGAGGGCCCAACGCTCCTGGCTGTGACACTCAATGCAAAGTCACTTGTCTTCTTCTAGAGGAGACCATGGTCACTTGCTAGTGCAGAGCTCGTGTGAGCAGCTAGGTTCACACCCTCGGGGCCTGGGTCAGCCCTGAAGCTCATCCAGTAGCACCAGCTGTGCTCCCTATCTGCACGAAAGGTGGCCTAAATCCTGGGGCATGTGGGATGTGCCATGAGCTCCACAAAGACAGTGTCCCCTGGGAAAAAGCAGCACGTTGAGGAGCTCTTTGGTTTAGGCAAGATTAGCTTTCCTCATCCAGCCCCAAAACACCCCCGAGCTGCTTGGGCAGGGTCCCAGCCTGCCCAGAAATGCCCCCATCCATGGGGTACCACACGGGCTCCCTCTGCTCACCCCATCCCCACTGCCTAGAGCAGCTTTTCAGCTGGAAGAAGCAAAGCATCCAATTTTCCCTGCACACCAATGAGCTGGTGACCAGCAACGCAGCCACCTGTGGCTATGAAATCAAAGACTGAGTCAGAAAACCTGGGCATAAGAGCCTGATCTGGATGGGCACCAGCAGCTCTGGCCTCCCCACACTCCCTGTCACCAGAGTGGGAAACCCAAGAAACACCCCTTGGGATGCACAGCACAACATCCAACATGCAGGGAGGTGACAGGTACTCTTCATTTGGGTGCCTTCTGCCAAAGGTACATCTTTGGGTGGGATGAGGTATGGGTGCATCATATGTTGAGATATTCTGAGAGCTGGTGGGGCTGCAAAGCAACACTGGTGCTGGAATTCAGGATTTCCTCAGCAGGTCATGCATAGAGGGTAGCTGGTACTAAAGCAATCCATCAAAAATATGAATCTCATCATTTCACAGACCTAGGAACACATGCACAGTGATCTGTCCATTCACACACACACATCCATGAGCCCCCTGTGTGCACGTCTGGCCTGAACACATTCAAACCCATATAAAACTCTGCTGGTGCCTGCTGCCATACACAGACACCTGAATGCTCCAGGATATAGATCTGCATCGAGTGGGAATGCACTGAGACTCACACACTCCGGTTCAATGGCATTTGTCCCCATTGCTCCCTGATGTGGCCCTAGCTCTGATTCTGGTCCTGCTGTGCCACCTCATGTGCCATGGGGGGACAGAGCCATATTGCTCCCACAGCTTTATCCTGAGGCCTGCCCTAAGCCTCCCAGCTCCCTAGGGAATGCTGTCATGAAGGCAGATGTGGGATTATTTCCCTGACTCAAGTAGAGGTGACCAGCACTGAGGTCTGTATGGAAGGAGGAGATTTAGAAGTCACAGCTCTTTGCCAGGCCTAACATCTGCATCCCTGAACATCCCCTCCAGAGCCTCACCACGGCTTCCCTTTGATCCAGTCTTCCCAAAAAAGGGAATTTGAATTTTCCACTGTTTCCAAAACCCTGGAATGAGCCTAGGAGAGCAGGGAATAGCCTGAAGCTGGGGCAGGCTGGGCCATCCTTGTGCCATTTGCCTGCAGTGACATCCCCACAGCACAGCCATGCTGTTGGTGACACCAAATGTCCCCTGGCCCTCCTGGTGACCCCACACACAGGTCCTGCCCCACACCAGCACCTCCAGCCCAAGCCAGTGCTAAACGTGGAAAAGATCCAGCAAAGCAGGGGGGTTCACGGAGGGGACTCCACGGCTCCACTCACAGCAAGACCCCCTCCCAAAAATGCACCATCCCATGCAGGGGGTCAGTCCCCAGCCCTGCTCCCCGGATCGCTGGGATTTTGGGAAGTGTATGCAGGCAGCTGTGGAGGCAAGGGGAGCACAGCTGGCTCAAGCAGCCTTTTCCCATCCAGCTGGGGTTTGGCTGGCCCAGTCCCTGAGCAGGCAGAGCTGTGACAAAGCTCTTCCCGTGCAGGATGCTGCATCCTCCATGCCCCCCGTGCTCCCCAGCAGCCCAGGGGCTGCTCTGGGGTGCCCAGCTCTGGGGACAGCACACCCACCTTTGCTCCAGCCGTGCGACAGGCGCTGGTGCAGGCTCCGCCCGCTGCTCTTGGCGATCAGCTGCGCCAGGTCCTCGAAGTTGAGGATGAACATGATGACGACGCCTTCCTCGTTCTTCACAGGCACCACGTCCACCAGGCAGCGGAAACACGACGCTGCCGAGCAGAGACAGGCTCAGGGGGCAGCACAGGAGATTCTGACCTCCCCCTCCCCAGCACCAAACACTTTTGGCAGAAAAGCGGGATTTTGAGCACTTTGATGGGTGTGATCCCTGCTGGTGGGTACTGGAGGATGTGGAACACGATCTGAGTCCAGGGAAAGGGCCATATCCCCGAAGCATCCCAATCACACTGATCACATCTCTTTTTTCTTTCCCAGACAGTCATTTATATTAATGTACTTGAGAGCAGCAATTAAAGAGTGAGTAATTAAGAACTCAGGAAGTCCCAGGTAGTGGTTTAACCTCATTAAGCATCCTGCTTGTAATCATGCTGCAGTTAATTGGCCTGCAATCACCAGGCAGTTTTTGGGGACTGCATGCAGGCAATGGGAGGGAGGACCGGGTGGGATCGGTGTGATGGTCCCCAAGGGCATTCCCTGGAGGCACGGAGTGGTCAGGAACGGCCTTGTCTTGTCCTGCCATGGGGAAACTGAGGCACAAAGGGGCACAAGGACTAGCTCAGTGTCATGGGAGCGATGGAGGTTGTGAGGAGGATCCCAAATATGTCCATGGGGATTTTCCTGTTGGATGTCAGCTCGACACTGTGGCTCTTCATGTGCAGCAGTCAGGCACCAGTCTGCAATTAGAGGCAACTGAGAACACCTGCAGGTCTTCTCCAAAGCACCAAGTGAAGGACACAGGTGGTTTCCCACCTCCTCTGCCAGCTTTATTCCCATCAAATCCTTCAAAACCCCTCCCTTAGGGTGTAATCGTGGAGTCCCTTCCTTGAGCTGTCTGCTGTTGTTTGGAGTGGTGGAGCAGGACCCCCCCTGAGCCACAGCCACTGTCAGGGTCCCTCTGGCAAAACCCCCTCAACATCCCCAGGCTCCTATCCCAAAACTCCTGGAGCTGATGGAGCACCCAGGTACCATTCCAGCCGACAGGGAGCCAAGCCACCTCCTTCCCTGGCAGCTTTTGCCCCGTGCAGATCCCTGCTCTGGCCTTTGCCCCACGCTGTGCTCAGCAGGGATTAGCAGGCGGGCAGGGATGTGCTGCCTGCCCCAGCGCTCTCCGGCCGTGGCCACGCTCCAGCCGGGAGGGGCAGGCCGGCCTTTCTGCGTATAATTTTAAGGAGCTCAGGGCCTCCCGTAATCAGGAGCAGATGGCCGGCATCGGGCAACTTCAAAATCTGCCGTGACGTCAGGGATGTGCACATACACGGACACACAGGCACAAGAACAGGAAAGAAATGGATATGGGGAAATCTGTTTAAAGACCCCAGCAGCCGTGATTTCTTTCTCTCTCCACTGTTCACCAAAGGGAGAGGAAATCCACTTAAATGTGTGAGCTGGGGAGGAGGGAGTGGATTTTTGGCAGATAAAGCTGTTTGGGGGCTGCAGGGCACGTGGCAGGTTACCTCTGTGTGGAGCAGGAAGAAGCGAGCTCTTTTCCCTCCCATTGCCAAGATTTTTAGGGATCTTTAGACCAAGAGATGCCCTGTAAGTGATGCCGAGTGAGCATGGTGTTCTGGGCGATTCAAACTGGC